AAATCTCTCTTCTCTGTAGTTTCCTTGTCTGTAAAATGAAGATAATAATAATAATATCTATTTGTGGTATACTGTAAGCAAAATAATGGCCTCCCAAAGATGTCCTCATCCTAATCCCCGGAACCTATGAGTATGTTATTTTACATGATAAAGGTGAATTAAGGTTGCTAATCAACTAAACTTAAGATAGAGAAATTATTCAAGGTTATCAGGTGGGTCCTTAATAGTAGAAGAGGGAGACAGAAGAGAAGGTTGGAGTGATGCAATGTAAGGACTCATCCTGCCATTGTTGGCTTTGAAAATGGAAGGGGGCTCTGAGACAAGGAATGTGGGCAACCCCTGAAAACTGGAGCAGGCTAGGATAAGGTTCTCCCCTAGAGACTCCACAAAGGAATGCAGCCCCACTGACCCCTTCATTTTAGCCTGATGATACAGACATCTGGTTTCTGACATATAGGCCTGTAAGATATTAAATTTATGTTGTTTTAAGCCATTGAGTTTGTGGTGATTCATTAAAGAAGCAATAAAAAAAACTAATATATCTATCTAATTGGTTGTTTTGAGGATGAAATAAAATAAAATGTATAAAGCACTGTGCTGGCACACAGTCATCATCTAATAAATGTTATTGACTGTTATTATAGTTAACATTTATTCATTCTTTCAATTTTTATTAAGCTGTGTGTCAACCATGATGCTAAATGCCTAGGATTCAACACAAAACAAGGCATAGTCATTGGTCCCCCAAGAAAGCCCAGTCTAATTGAGGAGACAGTCACATAAACAGATAATTCCAATAGGAAATATGCTTTCATCATGTTTTTAATTTTCAATATTTTATGATGCTTTGGCATCTTTGGGGGATCATGCTAGTTGGGAAAAGACTGTCCCCCCCACCCCCCACCCCTGCAGAGCTAGGTAATTCATAGAGATAGTGAACAGCTTGCAGATGAGCCAGACTTTCATATGCAAACCAACCAATCCCAGATTCCATACCCCCAACTCCTTTATCTAACTCACACACTAAGCCCATATTTCCTCTGCCCTAAATCAATCTGAGCCAAGTACCAAACAACTAGAGACAGCTCCTATGCCCCAAAGTCCATTATGATTATTCAGACTAGCCAATCATAAGCTATTTACTCTGCCCTGCCTCACCTTTCCCACACAAACCCCAATAAAGGCTGTGGCCTATGCTTCCCCAGTCTCTACTTCTGCCTCCTGAACAACTCTGTTGCCTCCCCACGTGACCCTGTGTAATGTTCATGCTTCTTGTTCCTACGGGAATTGTAACTCTTCTTTCAGTGACATTGGCCTCTTTATGTCATCACCAATGTGTCATTATCTTTTTGTAAATTAAGACCCAGGCAGATTTCAAAGTGATAAGAGCTATACAGAATGTATTACCCCCGCATGGAATAGAAGCAAGAGGGAATGGGGTCAACATGGCAAGAGAGGAAGAAAGTCACATATTTGAAGTTGCATGTAATTAAGCCTTGTGAATAAGTTATTCTTTAATCTTTTATAAAAGTAATTCTAGAGGAGCCTGAGAGGCTCAGTCAGTTAAGCCTTGGACTTTGGCTCAGGTCATGATCTTGTGGTATGTGAGTTGGAGCCCCACATCAGGCTCTGTGCTGACAGCTCAGAGCTTGGAGCCTGTTTCGGATTCTGTGTCTCCCTCTCTCTCTTTCTGTCCCACTCTCGTGCACTCTCTCTTGCTCTCGCTCTTGCAGGTAAATAAACATTAAAAAAATAATTACAAAGTGATTCTACTATTTTGGTTCTCTTCCATTGCTAATAAATCATATGCTTTGATTTCTACATTGTTCATGGTAGTAAGAAAACAAGAATGGCTGTTAAAATATAATGCCATTAAAAAACAAATCTCCTCCATTGTAATGTACACATCGACACCAGAAAGGCTTTTGTGGGATTAGAATCTAGGCTTTCTCTTCCCCCGCCTGTGACCCCTCTACCTGCCAGAAGGTGATGAGCCTAACCTTGACCCACTAATGGGCAGCCAAAGGGGATGGAGCAACCAGAGCCCCATCTATGTGACACTCCCTAAATAGTCATGAACTGAGCAGTAGAGGAGAAGATCAGCCAAGCCAGTGCTATACTAGTTCAAGTCAGGGGGCTGGTTATCAGAGTTCTTCGTGTGACCCCACTCGCCGATAACATTCCAGAGTTGCACAATTTCCTGTAAAAAGATAACATCATGGTGGTCTGACTGGTCATGAACAGACTGCTATTTTATAGTGAGTGTTTCCTGCTGTCACAGAGTGAAAGACTGTCCTTGGCAGTTTGTTTCTCAATAATTCTGATTTATCACGTTAAAAGCTTCATGGATCAACCAAAAAGAATCTGGGGGGTATAAGCAGGAAATCTTGCCAGAACAGAAATAAAACAAAAGCTTCCTTGATTTTAGCCATTATCAGCCCCAGGACCTTAACTGCTAAATGCACGTAAGACTCACCCAATCCAGAAATCTTTCAGACAACAACAAAGAAAGAAGGAAAGAAAGAAAGAAAGAAAGAAAGAAAGAAAGAAAGAAAGAAAGAAAGAAGAAAGAAAGAAAGAAAGAAAGAAAGAAAGAAAGAAAGAAAGAAAGAAAGAAATTGTGGAAAATGATTAAAATTTGTGCGATGTAACTCTAAGTATGCAGTGATTATTTATAACAAACTACAAAGATATACCCCAGGGTTCTGAGATAACAACCTTCTGACAGACACAGCCAAGTGGATAAGCTACTTGGTTCTGTCTAGATTCTTCTCTTCTTTCTTGCAATGCTCCAAGTCAGCTAAGCCTCTCCTGGTGGGCCCTCTGCTCTTCTTGTGTCACCCCAGTTTGTGCTGCTGTGACACATTTCTGGAGTGCAGAAATTCTCAATTGCAGCATTATTCAAAGTTCACTTTTGAGTACCAGCTCTGGAATCACTGTAAGATTTGCAGTGTTAAATGACCCTGTCAATGGCTGGTTGCTTATTAGCCCACAGTGCTTATTTAGACAGTCCTGAGGCTCAACGCATTCTCCCTACATCCTGCCACTCAGCAGCTTTATGGGAAGGGTAACTGTCACAAAACAGGACAGAAATGTGGACTTCCTGACCCTCTCTGCATTGCAACATAAAATATTTACTCTGGTCAGGAGTGTTACTGTTTAACCATTTCATTTCACCACCAATATAAGTGGTGCTAGAAGTATACATTCTGGAGCCCTCCATAGTACTACCTGAGCTGCGTGTGTGTGTGTGTGTGTGTGTGTGTGTGTGTGTGTGTGTGTTAATTAATTAATTAATTAATTAATTAATTTGGTGGGAATGGGGTAGACTTACTGAAAAAAGTGACTTCAGGGATTATTGCTGTGATCTGATCACTGTCCTCCCATCTCTCAGGGCTGAATTTGAGCATGGAGTAGAGAATGAGAAAGAAGGAAATGCTCGGAAAGCTATTGGCTCATACAGTGGCTTTGTGCCATTCTCCCTTTGGGAGTATGAACTGCTAAATGATGTCCCCTCCAAGTAGAACATTTGGGAATAGGAGCCCCTCTGGACACCAATGTTTAAAAGGAACAGCATCTTGCAAGGCACAGATTTTGGCCAGTGTTCCTCTCAGTGGACATGAGGGCACAATAGTTAAAGGTGGCTCTAGAAGGAGGTCTTGGGACATACCGAGCATTGGAACTCAGTTTTCTGTATCAGGGCAATTACTTAAGATTACTATAAGCTGGTGGGAGAAGTATTTCTATGCCTTAACTTAGTAGATCATTTCAATTACCATTCGGACAATAGTCCTCCCAGACTGAGGTTTTACAGGTGAGGAAACTGAGGTTAAGTTTCTTGCCTGATATGACGTGGTGCCATCAGATTTTGATCTTCATCCTGCTGTCTTCCCTGGTACTTACTATTGTCCTTCTCTGATTTTTTTTTTCCATAGCACTTGTTGCTAATACTAGCTGTGTTCTCTCTTCATTTGTACATTACCAGTCTCTTGCAAGCAGAACATAAGCTGATGAAGGTAGGGTTTCATGTCTGCTTTATTCACTGCTGTATCTGCAGCACTTGGAACAGGGTCTGGCACACAGTGGGCTCACTCACTAATACTTATTAAATTAATGAATTATGCAAACATCAGGGTTCTTTCTCCTATGCCAATCTATTTCTATAAATAACTTGGGACAAATACATAAAATGCATTGAAGGATTATATTAACACAAAATGTGCAGTGTTACAACCAGGATTTTCTGTTAATAAACTTGTATTCACTTAGGGTAATAAACCCCTATTTACTAAGACCAACCTTTGCCTTTGAAAACAGATCTACTTATGTCTGCTTTCTTTAATGATAAAACAGAATTATCACCCCCGTTATGCTCTGCTAGTTATTTTGCATATAGTAATGCAGAATAATTTGGCAAACTTTCTATGCAGATGTGTTAAGAGCATACAAAATAGATAAATCTTTCACAATAAGATTCTTATTGTGGGATACTTAAATTTGGCATGCTAAATATCGCACTTCATATCATCAAGTTGCAATCAAGTATTGTTAGCCATTTCAAAAGTAAAGAGTGACACATTTTAATCCATTTTGCCTAATTTCCTCATGATTTATTAACAGTTCACTGCGAGCAGAGCGCTGTACTGTGGCATATTGTTCGAGAAACAAAGGGAGCATTTAGAGATGATTTTTGCCCTCCTGGAATTTACACAACAAATGGAGGAAAGCAGAGTTATGCACACTCTAGTGGCTCCAACAATAACTGTTGGCTTTTTTATTTGTAATCAGAGAAGCCTGGCAACAGAAACCTTTTTTTTCCCTCTGGGCTTACGAGAACTGAGCCGAAGTGGGAAACTTTATTTGCTTTTACGAAACAATTTACTTTTGTGCAAACTGAAGATGTGTCAATCAAGCAAATAAAGGAAGAAAGCCTTATTTATAAAATTGCCTGCTTCTGATTTCACTTTGTTGCTTCTCAGGCTGCACGAGGGAAAAAAAAAATGAAGATTTTGCTGCTGGGTCTTTTTCTACTTTTATATAGTAACTCAGCCTGGGCGAAAGAGAAACATTACTACATTGGGATTATCGAAACAACTTGGAACTATGCGCCTGACAATGGGGAAAAGAGACTAATTTCAGTTGACAGGTAAGTCACTATTTTTATTGTGTACAGACCAAATTTATAAGTTATCAATTAAAAAATAAAGGGAAGAAGATAAAATGTTTTATTAATTTGTCGTATATGGAAACTGCAAAATGTGCAATTGAAATCCAGGAAACTAATAAAACTCCTCTAAATTCCTGGGCACGTTTTGGTGGGGGGTGGGGTGGGAAGGCTGCTCGACTGATTTCCCCTTGGTCCTGGGGGATCTGTGTGGGCTTATTACCTCCTCCGGTCGATATTGCATCTTTCACCAGGGTTCAGTCTTCTTGTCTGTTTGTGCAGAAGTACTTTAATTTAAATAACAACAGTACAAAATGTTATGTTGATTATACCACTTATTGATTATTAGCAGGTAAGACTAAAATGATTTTTAATCCTTTAAAACATCATTTATAAAAATCAAATACAATTTTAATAACCATGACTGTGCTTAAGACTTGTTAGTTGACTCGCAGTTAATTAAGTTTCTCTTTCTCAGCGTTAGCATGCTAATCTGGAAAATGGAGATAACAAAACTACTTTATCGGGTTCTTTGAAGAGTGGGTGCACGTAAAGCTCTTAGTACAATGCGAGGTACATCAGACATGCACAAAATATGTGAGATAGCTATTGTGATGCCCCCCCGCCAAAAAAAAACTCTGTGTAACTTAAATGTTTTCGTGTTTCAGGTGTAAGCCCTCTTATTTCAAGCAATAGTCACCATACAATATAGAAAAGCACAAGTATAGCTCTTGATGTTTTTATAATGACGTTTATACTGAGGTCATCAATCTTAATAATGCCAATTAAACATTTATCACTAAACCCCATGTTTACTACTTTTAAAAATGCATTTTAGGGTTGCCTAGGTGGATCAGTCAGTTGAGCATTCAACTTCAGCCCAGGTCGTGATCTCGCGGTTCAGGAGTTCCAGCCCTGCATTGGGCTCTGTACTGACAGCTCAGAGCCTGGAACCTGCTTCAGATTCTGTGTCTCCTTCTCTCTCTGCCCCTCCCCAGCTCATGCTCTGTCTCTCTCTCTCTCTCTCTCTCTCTGAAAAATAAATAAAAACATTACAAATTTTTTTTAATGCATTTTAATGCTGATAAAGCATAAATGAACCCAATGGCAATCAGCTGCTAAGATTATATCTTTAAAAATAGCTAAACAAGTATCCCAATCTTCATAATTGTTGGTTCTATTGACGGATATATGCTATTCTCATTCATTTTATGTATGTTTGACATTTTTCACAGTAAAAAATAAATACATAGGTGCTAATAATATCTGTTAAATTATTAATTTAGTGATATACAGTAAGCAAAGTTTCTGACCTAAAAATAACTGATTGTAAACAAAACTAATACATCCTACAATATTTTTTTTTTAACCTGGTTTTGAGGTAGTATTCTCTTCTTAGGAATAGGACCTATTTTCATGACTTCACCAAATTATTTTGTATGAATGCAAGATTTTCCCTGATTAAATACAATGTAAATTATACATGGTTTCTATAGGGAAACAAGACACATTAAAAAAAAAAAAAAAAGTCTGCTTTACTCCAAGCCCCCATCCACCATTCTTCTGCTATTACTCATGATTAAAAATCAAATCAGCTTTACTGAGCATAAGCGAAGTGCAAGACATTGCTCCAAGCATGCTTCAATGAAGAAGTCTGTAATACCAGAAGCTAGAGAAGACAGAAGAGAGAGGGAGTTTATTAAGAACAGGGCCGGGAGGGACGCCTCGGTGGTTCAGTCGGTTAAGCATCCGGCTTCGGCTCGGTCATGATCTCACAGTTTGTGAGTTGGGGTTCTGCGTGAGTTCGAGCCTCGTGTCGGGCTCTGCGCTGATAGTACAGAACGTGGAGCCGGCTTCACATTCTGTGTCTCTCTCTCTGCCCCTCCCCTACTTGTGGTTGCTCTCTGTCTTTCTCTCTCAAAAATAAATAAATAAACATAAAAATTTTTTTTTAAAAAAAGAATGGGGAGGGGAGGTGGGGGTCAGAGGATTCCTTTGGTTTTAAATATTCTTATGTCTTGTCTGTGTTTAGGGAGGTTTTGCAACATTGGTTTGATCATCCGTGGCTTCAAGGACAGCCTAGAATCTTTGGACTCTAGATGGCGCTGCTCACTCTGCCTGTGATCTTTTTTTTTTTTTTCAATTACATCTGTGACTGTTGAACACAGATTCAGCAATTTTGCCAACACTATGCTAAACTTTTTGTATAGATGAGTTTAGGTAGCAACTTGTTTCTCCCTTCTTTGTGTCTGATTACCAGCATGTCCAGCGGTTTTAGTTTCTTCGGGCTGCTATAGCAAAATACCACAGAAGAATACAGAAATGTATTTTGCAGTTTTAGAGGCTGAGCAATTCAAAGTCAAGGTACCAGCATGGCCATGTTCTAGTAAGAGCTCTCTTGCTGGTTAGTCCTGGTTATAGTAGCCTATTCACTGTGTCCTCACATGGTAGAAGCTACAAATCTCTCTGGAGCATGTTTTATAAGGCCCTAATCCCATGTATGAGGGCTCCATGTTTATGACCTAAGTGCATCCCAAAGGCCCCATCTCCTAATCCACCACGTTAGAGGTGGCCCTAAACCTCCAGAACCTGTCTGTATGGTGAGTGAATACTCTGTGATCTGTGTTATATTCAGTGGTGCAGTTGACTTTAAAATAGGGAGATGATCTGGGTGGGCCTAATCTAAACCAAAGAATTCTCTAGAAGAAGAAGAGAAAGAAGAAAAGAGATTTGAGGTGATTCAACAAACTGCTGCTAACTTGAAGATAGAAGACGCCACTTGAGAAGGAATACAGGTGGCCCTGAGGAGGCGGCTGAGGTCCTTGGCTTACAGCTGGCCAGGAAGTGGGGATTTCAATCCTACTATCACAGTGAACTGAATTCTGCCAATAACCTGAATGAGCTTGGAAGCAGATTTCTCCAGCTCCTCCAGATGAGTGCTCAGACCAGCCAACACCTTGATGTCAGCCTTGTGATAACCTGAGCAGAGAAGATAGTCATGCCATGCCAGACTTCTGACCCACTCAGCTGTGAAACAATCAGTGGGTGTTCTTTTAAGCTACTATGTGACAATTTGTTATTTGGCAATGGAAAACTAATGTCCTGTGTCTCAACCGATGAAGACAAGAATCCAGAAACTTTTCCCATTACCGACATTTCAGTAATCAAGTCTAAACATAAGCCAAGACCATTCAAGTACATTCTGAATTTATGGAAAGATGTAACTTTATTATCATCTTACTGAGTCAGTATAAAATTTTTTTTTAATTCCACTACCATTAAAAACTCACTTCTGAGTCTGAATCTGCCAGAAATTATAAGAGTTGGCTATAGGATTCTAGAAGATGGGGGGATAAAAAGGTGGGATATGATTACTGAGAGGGAGACAATATCTTTGTAATGAATAGAAAAGAGCACGTTACAATTGTCAACAGAAAGATCTACAATTAACATGAATTATTTGCTTGATTCAAAGAACAACTATAATAGATTCTTTTGACTGAATAACTGGCAAACTTACTGCAAACTTCCAGTAACTGACCCTAGTCCCCACACTATGTTCTTGAAATTAATGTTTATTTTGAGAGATGGAGAGCGCAAGTGGGGGAGGGGCAGAGAGCAAGGAGGACAGAGGGGTTCTGCGCTGAGAGCAGTGAGCTTGATGTGGGGCTTGAACTCACAAACTGTGAGCTAATGACCTGAGTTGAAGTCTGGCACTCAACTGACTGAGTCACCCAGGTGCTCCTGTGCCCTTGAAATTAAATAGACACCTCCTAATGATCCTTTGATGTTCCTTTGTAGACAGCACATAATCAAATAGACCTCCCCCAAAGTATCACATGATGTGAAATATTTCCCAATTTGGTCAAGAGTTCATTTTGTTTAAAAAAAAAAAAAAAACAAGATGGGAAACATATTTTGCATACTGCCATGTATATAAAAGCAATTCCAAATGTTAAAAACTCTGAATATAACTTCAGATCAACTACTTTAAAAGCAATTCTTGCCTCCCCCAAATCTCTGTGTACAAAGAGTGTACCCTGAAGATTGGGCAATGCTTGTCCTGTTTCAGGAGGTAATTAATATGGGAGAAATGTGCAGTGAAGGCATTCTGGCAAAGCCCACTGAATTTTATTGGAACAGGACGTGACATACTCCCAAATGTTTCAGAGTCATGTTCAGAAAGTATCAATACACACTGTATTGAATGAAGCCTTAAGAATTTGAGGGCTGGGCGCCTGGGAGGCTTATTTGGTTGAACCTCTGACTTTGGCTCAGGTCATGATCTCACGGTTCATGAGTTCAAGCCCCACCTTAGGCTCTGCACTTACAGTGCAGTGTCTGCTTGGAATTCTCTCTCTCTCCCTCTCTCTGTCCCTCCCCCGCTTGTACACTCTCTCTCTCTCTCAAAAATAAATAAATACACTTTTAAAAATTCAATAAAAAAGAATTTGAGGGCTATTTTAAAACTTTGACCTATGTAAAATGTGTATCAACAGGGCATTTTATTTATTTTTTAAACGTTTATTTATTTTTGAGACAGAGAGAGACAGAGCATGAATGGGGGAGGGTCAGAGAGAGAGGGAGACACAGAATCGGAAGCAGGCTCCAGGCTCTGAGCCATCAGCCCAGAGCCCCACGCGAGGCTCGAACTCGCCGACCGCGAGATCGTGACCTGAGCTGAAGTTGGACACTTAACCGACTGAGCCATCCAGGCGCCCCTCAACAGGGCATTTTAGAACAAAGATTAGAATCTCTATTTAAATATCACCAGGAGGGGCACCTGGGTGGCTCAGTCAGTTAAGCATCAAACTTTGGCTCAGGTCATGATCTCACGGTTTGTGGCCTCTCACCCTGCGTCAGACTCTATGCTGACAGCTCAGAGCCTGGAGCCTGCTTCAGGGTCTGTGTCTCTCTCTCTCTCTCTCTGCCCCTGCCCCACTCACATTCTGTCTCTCTCCCTCTCTCTCAAAAATAAACATTAAAACAAATTTAAATAAAATATCACCAGGACTCATCTCATAGCAATAAGAGATGCTGGAGAAAAGTTACCCTCAGATGTGAATGGGCCTGCATAAGACTGAGCGGGCCAGGGTCGTCTGGTGACTAGAGAGGAATTGTCTTTGCGCTGTGAACTTTGCTACAGCCGTATGCCAGACTAACACTGTACTCTTGCTAACCTCCTTGCAGCACTGAGTACTGCAGGAATCTGCTTTCAATCTCAGTGGTCTTCAGTGCCTCAGAATTTTGCTGTTGTTAAAACATCCACTTGTCAAGACCATTTCTATTAATACGAATGCTGCAGTTTTAGAGGAAGAATTCACACCCCTGTCCTGTTTTCCCGTGCATTTGGATACCCTTGAAGTCTCTCTGCGCTTTCCTGAATCCATTTTTCTATTTCATTCTAACAAAATGGAAACCACAACAATTAGAAAATGGAACCAACTGAGAGAAATAAAACAAAGGATGCCTCTTCTTTGTTTTTCTAACTTCCAGCTTGGCCCCCTTCCCATCAAAAGGGTTCATTTTTCGGTGAACAATCTGGAATCCTGGAGTTCACACAATCCAGGAAAAGTGGGGTCCTTGGTATGTGGTGCCAACGATGAGATCCTCATGGTCGATGTCCTCTGGTCAGTCCAGTGCGTGGTGCTCTGCTGTTTCCAACACCTGCTGCCACTCAAACTCAGCCTCCAGGACCACCACCGCCTCCGGCACTCAGGCTTAATCAGATGTCCTCATGCAACTATACCAACAGAGGTCTGGCCGCCACCAGGGTATGGCCTGGAAACAGATCCTGCCACCCTTCTGTCTCACAGTCCCAAGAAATCCCACTGCCTCTGGGATTAGGCAGCTCTCTTTTCCTTCACTTCGGAGCCTCCCACTCAGGTTACCCATGAGCCCAGAGCGGCCTGCCTGCAATAGAACACAGCTGGGTGTTTGTTAGAAACTATGAACATCTGGGCCTGCCCCAGAAGCAAGCAATCAGAATAAATGGGGCTGGGGCTCAGGAGCTTGCATTTCCTCAAGGGCCTCAGTAGATTCCTACGCACATCAAAACTTAGGAAATATTGGGCTACAGCTCTAGAGTTTTGAAAAACTGGGCCTTTAAACTTTGCAGCAAGGGAAGTTCAGAGCTTCCAGACAAGCCCTCCTCTCGTCTTGAAGAAAAGAAGAAGTATTTCTCACTCTTTCCGAGGAGCTTACAGTTGAGGAGACAAGACAAAGTTTATTCTTCAGTCAGATCAGCCGGCTCCACAGGAATTAAGAAGAAATGGTGAGGCATCAAAGATCCCTGAGGTGAAAGTCCACAGCACACACACTCACACGAAGAAGCACAACCCCCAGATCATCAGCCTGAGTGTTAGCACTTTTTATTCTATCGGAGGAGATCCCATTTGTGGAAGGGCTTGCCAAAGTCCAGGTTTTCGGTGAGTCCTCCTAAATGGGTAGATGTTGTTACTCACCAACAGATCCCAATGAGCTACTTAGAGCCTTCTGTTAAGGACAGCCTAAGAATCACTTTAAAAGTGTGATCACCAAACCCACTTTCTTTCTTCCCTTTTCTTTTCTTCCTTTTTCCCCCCACCCCCGCCCCGCACTACAATTTACTTTGCTAACATTTTTAGAAAAGTTTCGAGCAACTATTAATCAGCCACAAAGCAGAATATAAACATTCACTAGTCAAACATTTTCGGTAGCAAGGGATTAAAAGAACATAAGGGTAATTTGCATCCAAAGGTAATTTTAAAACCCACATACACTGCACACATCAATTCCGATCTTGATTTAGTGCTGCTAAAGGAAATAAAAAATGTAGGATTAGTATAGCATCATTAATTTTATGTATTTAGGAAAACAAAATATATACACACTCTGAAGTCTCAAATATCCGGACTAACTGCTTATAAACTCATTTTCTTCCGGTAGCTGAAAGAGTAATAGATGAGTAAGGTCTTAACTGCTTTACCCTAACATTTTACTTTCACTTTGTATTCGACTTCATAATGTTTCTGTATTGTAACATAAAAATCCTGTAGAAAAATAGTCTGGTGAGATACACCAGATTTTAATGGTGGCTTCACACATGATTCGCTGCTATCACACCTGATGCGGGATGCCTCACATACTTAAAATAGGAGGGTAAGTGCCAGCTCACCTCTTCATTTTTGGAAGCACCCCTACAATAACAGGCAAACATTTGATGTGGTATGGTCATTAATTTCTCTTTAATTACATGAGATGTTATAATGTTATCCCCAGAAATGATGGCTTCTGATAGAGTTGTCTTCTTTTCTTTTGCAGGGATCGTTCAGATATCTATCTTCAAAATGGCCCAGATAGAATTGGAAGGTTGTATAAGAAGGCCCTTTATGTTCAGTACACAGACAGAACTTTTAGCACAATTATAGAAAAACCTGTCTGGCTGGGGTTTTTAGGCCCTGTTATCAAAGCTGAAACTGGAGATAAAGTTTATGTTCACCTAAAAAACTTTGCCTCTAGGCCCTACACTTTCCACCCACATGGAGTAACTTACCATAAGGAACATGAGGGTAAGTTCAGCTCATATTCTAGCTGGAATTTCCTCGTAATTTTCAGTAGGAGCACTTTTTTTGTTTTTTTTTTTTAACATCTAAGATTATGGCCTCCCCTCCTGGAGAAGATGTGTAAGTGTGTTACTATGCTGTGTTTCCCTTGGTTGCACTTGCTTGTGTGAAAGAACTCTTGGGTAGACTATACAGTGAGAGGCAGCGAGAGCTGGGACTTCCCTACCAGTGCCTGGCAACTCGCCAGCCAAAGAGAATTAGAGGACTAGGCAATGTGCATGAAGGCCTAGAAAAGGCAAACATCCAGAGGGAAGAAACAGGACTCAAGATAGGGGTTGTCTTAACTCTAAAGTTCCTACATGTGACCATACTGTGGTCATTGTCACGTACCATCCTAACTCTGGATTAACTCTGTCCTACCTAAGGCAGTCTGAGTAGTCTCTTGCATCAGTCAAATGGTACACATGGCTGGATGACCCCAGAGCCGCATCTGAGATACAATTAATGGAAAGGTCATTTGAATGTAGGACTTAGAAACCTTAAAGATGGTACAGGAAGAACAAAGAATAGGTTTGGTGTCTGTGATATCATTTTTAGTACTTGTTGATGATAATGATAAAAAGAGGTGGGGTTTTGTTATGGATAAGAGCGAGGACTTTGAAAGTAATAGACAAAGCTTCAAGTGCAGCCTTGTCTTTCACTGGCTGAATAATGATCTCAGCTAAGTTACTTAAATTCTCTGCGCTTCAGTTTCCTCATATATAAAATAGGGACAATGATGTACATGGTAATAGCTCAATGAATGTCAGGCATTATAAGCAAAAATGCAGAGACCATGTTAGTTGAAATTATAAGGATTAAGTTTGGAAATTAAGATAAAATTAGAGCTTTAAAATTATTAGTTTTCTTTTTTACAGAGGCTTTGCTTTAGAAGGTGAATGTTTTGACCATATATTTTTATTTGTTTTTCTGAAACAGTTACATTCATAGCTTAGAGGCTGACTGCCATCTTATTTCTTTTTTACAAATTCATGGCATAGTAGGGTATTAATCATTTTTAAGGCATGGTAGTTATATTGTCTTCATGTTAAAGAAAAAACCGTTCTTATCCTTTAGAGGTATATATTCAAGTATTAGTGAAATGATATGATGCCTGGGATTTGCTTTACAATTAATTCGATGGTGATGGGGTTAAGAGTGGGTGGGGGTGTAGATGAAACAGGATTGGTCTTGGGTTTATCATTATTAAAGCTTGGTTGATGGGTAAATGGAAGTTCATCATATTATTTCCTCAACTTTTACGTATTTTTGGAAATTTCCAAAAGTAAAAGTACAGAATTTTTAAAAATCCATAGTTAGTTCATGGGTGGAAATTTGACATCCTATAAGATGTCTCAAGTGATAAGAGAGAGTAGCCATTTTGTTCATACTTCCATACCATGACCCCAGAGCAAAAGTGGTTCTTTACACTGCAAACCAGAAGTCACTCTGCTCTATTACTACTCCCTTAAGATTCAGTAAGTATTCAGTAAGTTAAAAAATAACAACCAAATTTTTGGTGAAGCTTCCAGACCCCCTAGTCATTAGCCTCTCACGCTTGTGTGTTCAAATAGGACATCACTACATTCCCAAAGGGGCACATACTACAAGTTGAATACATGTTTGCCAAATAAATTAATGAATCATCTATTATCTCTTTTAAGTTCAAATACATTCACTTTGTAACTTCACTGTGTATTGCTTCTTAGGGGCCATCTATCCTGATAACACCACAGATTTTCACAAAGCAGATGACAAAGTGCATCCTGGTGAGCAGTACACATATGTAATGAACGCCACCGAAGAGCAAAGTCCTGGTGAGGAAGATAGCAATTGTGTGACCAGGATTTACCATTCCCACATTGATGCTCCAAAAGATATCGCCTCAGGACTCATCGGACCTTTAATATTCTGTAAAAAAGGTAAATTTTTTCATTGTTGCTCACATTGTATGACCAACAGGCAAGAGACAGAGGAGTTTGTTTTTTAACATAGAAGTCAAATCTTCTGTGTTATGACTGAGTAGGTAAGGTTGAGAAGGAGTGAATCTAGATAAAAAGGGGAAAACAACAGGGTAGGAGAAGAAGAAGAAATAAATGGAACAAGTATTCACACCCATTACTACGCTGCAAGAAACATGCTCTCCTGGAAGATAGGTTTGCTGTATCCAGTTTCCAACAGTGGTGTTGAAGAGATGTGTGACTTTACCAGAAGTGACTCCCTTAGTGGCACTCCATGGTGTTAGATCTGTAGTTACCTGCATTGCGTTGGTAAATATAATATCACAATAACTATTTCCAGCATCATGAAAAAGACAATGCAGCTCAAGAGCTTGAAATCCAGGGGCATCTGAATGTCTCAGTCAGTTAAGCATCAGCTCAGGTCTTGATCTCACAGTCATGAGTTCAAGCCACACATTGGGCTTGAAGCCTACTTAAAAAAAAAAAAAAAAAAAAAAAAAAGGAGCTTGAAAGCTAATTCTCACTTGAACAGAATGAGTTACCTTCAAAGACTTACTGTCTTAGTTTGTGGATGTATGCACCAGAAGATACACACACAACTTTGAATTCCAACCTTCTCATTTGCCAAAAAAGCATTGAATAGTTAAGTGGTCAATGGGCATCCAGATATATGAGTATCTGTAAGCTCAGGATACTGAACATAAAGTTTCCTGGTGTTTCCATCTGTAAAACAGAAGTGACAAATCCAGATTGGGGGTGTATTAGAAAAGTAAAATTTTAAAGCTATAAATCACCTGCTAAAAATACATGCTAAAGAGTAACTTCTACTAAAATAGTAATTTTCACTTCAGATTCTCTGGATCAAGAAAAAGAAAAAAATATTGACCAAGAATTTGTGCTGATGTTTTCCGTGGTGGATGAAAATCTCAGCTGGTACCTATATGACAACATTAAAACCTACTGCTCTGAACCAGAGAAAGTTGAGGAAGATAACGAAGATTTCCAAGAGAGTAACAGGATGTATTGTAAGATTACAGAAAGCGTGTTAACTTAATCTTATTTTTCTTGATCCATTAAGTCTGCTAGATCTATTCTTTCACATGAATAAGTAGTATGTTTCTAATCTCTGGCCCTGATAAGAAAGCATATTAAACCTGCAACTTCATATTTAGCTAAACAGATCAAATCAAAACTCTGTGCCAGGTAAAACTGGATACACCAAAATGTTCCCAAACTAATAAGGAGAAAACATCATCAATTTTGGTTTAATGTATACGTATGTTACATTTATTTATATGTTTGTTTATTTTCCAAACTCATTCTAAAATTTATTTGAGGCCGCCTAAAATTATTAAACTAAATGCTGAAAATTATCTTTATATCATAAAACATTGAACTATACTTAAAATAGCTCAAACTACAGTTCTAAAAGGTATTTCTTTTATATATACATTGTCCCTCTGCATCATTCTTTTTCTATCTTTTAATTTACTTTATTTCTTCTAGAAATGCTTTCTTTACTGCCTAGGCTCCTCCTTAATTCTCAGACTCAAAATAATGAGCTTAGTAAGGTTGTCTATTCCTCAGAATTTGCATAAGAAATTAAATCTCTTAACACCAACTAGACCAATAAGTATGGCTTTTTGTTTGTTTGTATTCAGCTTCTTCAAAATTACCTTTACTCAGAAACGGAGAATACAAAAATAACTACCAAAGCAGAAAAACAAACTAATTAAGAAAGTACAGATTTTCCCCCCCAACTTTTGTTTATTTCTGGCTGGAAGGACCCCTGTCTATACTTCAATCCTGCCTTTGTTATGCACTAACAAAATAGATGTTAGAAAAAGATACTCAAGGTATAGTCTGGATAGGTCTGGTTGTACCTCTGTTGTATCACATACATTCATGGTGCTTCCCAGAACCAATTTCTATCTTATCTCTAGGACCACCCAGTTTGAATAGTGATCCTAGGTTTCTTTATTTTATTTTTATTTTTTATATGAAACTTGTCAAATTGGTTTCCATACAACACCCAGTGCTCATCCCAACAGGTGCCCTCCTCAATGCCCATCACCAACTTTCCCCTCCCTCCTACCCCCCATCAACCCTCAGTTTATTCTCAGTTTTTAAGAGTCTCTGATGCTTTGCCTCCTTCCCTCTCTGTAACTGTTTTTCCCCCTTCCCCTCCCCCATGGTCTTCTGTTAAGTTTCTCAGTATCAACATAAGAGTGAAAATATATGGTATCTGTCTTTCTCTGTATGGCTTATTTCACTTAGCATAACACTCTCCAGTTCCATCCACGTTGCTACAAAAGACCATATTTCATTCTTTCTCATTGCCATGTAGTATTCCATTGTATATACAAACCACAATTTCTTTATCCATTCATCAGTTGATGGACATTTAGGCTCTTTCCATAATTTGGCTATTGTTGAGAGTGCTGCTATAAACATTGGGGTACAAGTGGTCCTATGCATCAGCACTCCTGTATCCCTTGGGTAAATTCCTAGAAGTGCTATTGTTGGGTCATAGGGTAGATCTATTCTTAATTTTTTGAGGAACCTCCACACTGTTTTCCAGAGTGGCTGCACCAGTCTGCATTCCCACCAACAGTGCAAGAGGGTTCCCGTTTCTCCACATCCTCTCCAGCATCT